ACCGCTCGCGCCCGCGACGCAGTCTGCGTCTCCCTCGCGAACATGCCCTCTCATCATTTTCTAGCCGTGATTAGGCCTCGAAGCCTCGCCTTCCACCCGCCAATCCCGTCGAATCAGGTTTTGGACTTGTCTGGCATGGACGGCTGAAGCGCAAAAAATCTATCACACAGTTAAGAGATCAAACCAATCATTACTTTCTCCCTTTTCGGGTCATTGTAGATTCAAATAACAGGTTCTGATAAACATCGCACTCCAATTCAAAATGAGCGAGTGTTTAGAAATGTTAGGGTGAGATCGGATTTCTACTCATCTCTCCTTATACGATTTGCAAAAGGGCGCACAGTGAAGTCCGGCATTGGAATGTTTTATTTGTTACCTTACAGAGTGAAGTAATATCGCTTTGATTTTTCTGGCTAAAATTTTGGGCACACTGATTTTGCCACTGGACCCACTTCAACAGAGGGTTGCTATCTTGTTGCAAGTTTTTTTTGTAGCTCCTACCCCATCACTAATGCTTTATCAATACTACGATTTAATTTTGGAAAGTGATGGGGGACTTCGCTTGCAATAAACCAACACGTGCTGGTATCTGGTTACGTACTGCAAAACGTCAGGAATGCAACTTACTTCTCTTGTATAACTATTTCATCTCCAACCATTTCTTCCACTAGTATCTTCTCATCTTCAGCAACGATGAGTTGCGGTGGCCGGCAGTCCGCAATACCTGGAGGTGCGCGTACTGCCCCGCTACAATAAGCTTCAATAATGCGTAGAAGATGAGCATCATGCTGCTCGCCGATACTTGCTGAACAAGCGTGATGACTAAAGAATATATGAAGCTGTCAAAGCAAAAATACCTTCTTTTCTCATCTTCACACCCTTTTTCGCACTTGATGATGGTAAAACGGTTCGATGAGGAGGGTCGACGCGCAAGCACAATTTCTTGCTAATGTCTGAAAGAGATGGGGAATGAACTGGTGACGACAGAAGTGTAAAACCGCTCAAAGAAAAATACCATTAAGAGAGCGATGGTTATGGGCATTGATGTCAGGATCATCGATCTCATCTGGTAGAATCATCTCCAACTCATGATTTAAGCGCAAATCGTTGTGTCCTATGCTGAAAAGACTGTGGCTGAAACTCAAAAATCGAAAAGAATTTCTTACGATGGTTTTCTTCCAACTACTGCTCGCTCGGCAGATGGCATGTCGGATACATCTACCATTCGTGAGGGTGACAACATATGCTTCAAAGTCGATATTAGAATGAAAAAAAACTAGCGATACTTTATGCAAACTTACTATATTATTGACAGCGTAAGACTGCGGTACGGGTGGAGATGACATAACAAACGATTCCTCAATTACTATACCTTCACATCGCGCGAAAGCCTCTAGCCAACGCTCAGTGTCGAACCAAGATGAGATCTGGATTTCCATGTCACCTTAAATGAAAAAAGACAGCTCTGGGTGTACACACAGATACAAATGCTAGGGACTCAAGGATACTTCGCGCGATCCCGCAGGTTATCACCAAACACCGCTCACAGATTTCAAATGCGCAAGCATAGCAGTGGCGGACCGATGCTCCGAATGAGGGGGGGGGTCGAAAGGAAGTTTTTTGGGAGTGGTCTGAATGACTCATGAAATTGTGCAAGTGCATCTTATCTTGAATGTGCAGAAAAAATCAGACTGTGAACTTCGAAACAGTCAGTAAGAAAATTCAGATGCATCCCCCAAACTTCAGGGTAGCAGCTCACTGCTATTTGGTGAGCTTTCTATACACCACACCGTATGAGAACCAT